AATATTTCAGTCATTGAGAACTTTTTTTATTGTGAAGTACACATTATATTTTAATTGCAGACAACAGTATAAATTTTTAAAAAACTCACAAATCGTTGCAATTATGTAATTATTAATTATGTTTATTTTTATAACATCTAGTGTTGTAAATTAGCAAAGCAATACCTCGCATAGTGCGGGTAATTGTTTGATACCGGACTAACCGGATTAAATCCAGTGGTTTAAAATATTTCAGTCGTTGAGCATATTTTTATTATGAAGTACACATTTTATTTTAATTGCAGACAAAAAACAGTATAAATTTAAAAAAAACGCACAAATCGTTGCAATTATGTAATTATTAATTATGTTTATTTTTATCACATTTAGTGTTGTAAATAAGCAAAGCAATACCTCGCATAGTGCGGGTAACTGATTGAAACCGAACTAAAAGGATTAAATCCAGTAGTTTGGAATATTTCAGTCGTTGAGAACTTTTTTTTATTGTGAAGTACACATTTTATTTTAATTGCAGACAAAAAACAGTATAAATTTAAAAAACACACACCAATCGTTGCAATTATGTAATTATTAATTATGTTTATTATTATCACATCTAGTGTTGTAAATAAGCAAAGCAATACCTCACATAGTGCGGGTAACTGTTTGAAACCGGACTAACCGGATTAAATCCAGTAGTTTCGAATATTTCAGTCATTGAGAACTTTTTTTATTGTGAAGTACACATTTTATTTTAATTGCAGACAAAAAACAGTATACAATTCAAAAAAACGCACAAATCGTTGCAATTATGTAATAATTATTTATGTTTATTGTTATCACATCTAGTTTTGTAAATAAGCAAAGCAATACCTCGCATAGTGCGGGTAACTGTTTGAAACCAGACTAATCGAGGACTTTGAAACTACAATAAAAATGAAATGAAATCATTTACGTATAAAAAAAATAATTTCTTTGTATTTTATTCAATTAATATTTTGTTTGTTTTGAAATAAATAATATAATTAATAATAATTATTATAATTAAACAGATTGATAAAAAAGCGCGCACAAACTAAAAAAACTTATTCCTTAATGTTTCACAGAAAAATAAGTAGGGGTTTCCTATTTTTGCATGCGAAATGATTGCGCGAATTTCTTTTTATATATTTTTTTTGTTGGTTCGAGGTAAACTAGGGTGAAAATCGCCGGGTCATCTTTTAATTGAAGGATGATCAATGATGATGGTTGTGAAGCCAGGAAGGAAACCGAATGGAGTTGGGTGTCACATGGTTTGTTTTAACCCAGTTTCGAGAGAAATGTGAACCATGGATGATGATGGGCAGGTGCGAGTGGATTAACGTGGCCGGGTGTAATGGTAGCGTCACCCAGTCAGCATCGCACATCGCGTAACCCATTATAGCTGATTGCAATCTTTGTTCGCAAGAACGGTCCGCGTGTGTAGCAAATGTAGCCCCAGCACCTGGGCTCTGCAACCCCTACACCCCTCTCCCATATACTTGTTTTAAACAAAGATAAAAACCGGGTCGAATGGGATATATATATACACACTCATACATACACACGCATATATATATATATTTGGGGATGTTTTGTGAATGGGGTAGTGGCATAATGGAATCTGAGACGCGTTTTACCCTAACGCACCCTTTTCATACGCGATGATGCTGCATCCCGTACCGACCTCAGCTAGTCTAACGGTTGTTGTCTGTTACACTCACTGTTATCCTTGCTCGTTTTTTTGTATCCCCTTCTCTCGCTCTTTCTCATGTGGGTACTTTTTTAAAAGCGTTACGCCAATTCTGAAATAAAAAAATATATTCAACCCCACATCTACTGCAACAACAACGACGGAATAAAAAGACTTCCACAACGAACATCACTATACGATTTTTATTTTACCCAACAGTTCATAAAAAAAAATACGTCTGTATTATGTTTGAAACGATTGTATATCCGGAATATGCATGTAGATAAATAGATTTTGATCTGCGGATGAACTTCAATCAACAAATGGACAATAAGGACATCAATTTAGATGGACGTTTTATATGAATTTTTATTTGCGTCATAACGCTTCAACAATTTTATGGGTACTGATTTTCATTTCATAACGATTTTGTTATATCAAAGGAAATTAATATTATTAATATTCAATTAGAAACCAACTGGTTTTCATTAAGGTAACATATTTTATATTTTTTTTTAAATTTAATTACAATGAAATTATCATTGATTTTTTTTGTCCACTTATTAAATTTGTAATTTAAAATTGTTTTTTTGGCAAAATTCTATAATAATGGCTGAAAAACTTAGTTAATTCTAAATAAATATGTTTCTTTGTACATCTTATTCTATTTACATATCATTATTTACAAAAAAATGAGTAGTAAATTTAATTAAGTGAAATTGAGTTAAATATATTTACCAGGAGATTTTCTACTAATTGTGTTTTGCTGTAAGTGCAATATTATTTATAAAAATCTCTCAATTATCTGGGAAAAAATATTATAGTAAATTTTTAATAAATTTTCATAATTTACATAATTTACGAAGAATGCTTATGTTTAATTAATAAAATTAAATGTTATGATTAGATTATATTAAGACTGTGGAATGAATCTCAGTTTAGGTCACATTTACGCGATTAAAGAATTTATATAATCCATCCTTTTTCTATATAAAATATAAAAAAAATCTTTATTAAAAATGACATTTACTAGTAATTAAATTAATTGCCAGATAACTTTTCAAATCACCCGTATTGAGTGAAAATTAAAAATACTTATGAGTTATTATACCAAATATAAGATCCATGTATTTAACAAATATATATAAAAAAAACCTTAACTTTGAATTTATTTAAAATTTTATAATTGCATTTGAAATCATCATTGAATGTAAAATTAAAATCAATAGTAATAAACAAAGGATTTGTGAATATTTATTAATGTGATTTTTGTTTATGAATTTGTGTATTCGTTGAATACGAATGTGAATTCATTATTATTTTCTAAATGTTTGAAATGCGTCTGAATTAATGGACAGTATTATGGAGATGGGAGTGTGAAATACAGGTATGATGTAACTAATCTAGGAATCTGATGTGACAGTAATGCGACGGTTTGAGTGCATTGGTGTGTTCTAGGAAATGCATGATGACGGACGTCCAGATGCATATTAATGTCATGTCCGCAGATTTGATGCAAAATACTGTCCCATCCAGAAATGTTCGGATGTCAGTGGGCGGTCCGACGTAGGGCTTCTGAAAAATGCAGACCCGTCATCTCTGGGAAAAAGAGTATCACGAAAGCTGACAGAAAAAAAAATGAATGGAAGAAGTAAAGAAAATGAAAAAAGAAACAACGCAACTCATGAAATACAGATTTGTGCACGGTTGGAGAGTGCTAAATGTTTTGACACGGGACTGATTTGTTAATTAATATTTAAATAGGGCCGGAACTCCATTTTGGTGTAGGTGTCGGAGGGCGGAGCTTAGGGCCGACCATATAGAGGGGACGAACCAGTCGGGAGGGTTCAAAGGTAAGATCAAAAGGGCCGAGCTCGTCCTTCTCTCATTATCCGGCGAGCATCGGCCGTGGCACAATCGTGGCCCTTTGCTATCCCAGGCTCCCTCCAGTCAAGTGTGCACCAACAACCATCACCGGATGCCGGAAAGTGAATCAGTTTGTGTTCGGTTTAGTGCGCGGTAAGTAGCCATAAAAAAAGGGCACGTCTCCAGCAGACGTAAATTAATGGCAAAGTACAAATCTACGTGAACTTAAACGCGAGGTTCGGCTGCGAACCTTTTCGTCGTCTCGTCGCGCATCGATATCACCGCGCTCTTGAAGGAAAACCAGGCGCATCCACCAACGACCCCAACCACAGTTACCACCAATCGGGGCGCGTTCAGCTTTTGATTGTTGCTCAGAAAGCCGTCCCTTTTTCTGCTGCTGGCTTTCGGGCGATGATCAAAGACCGAGCGCGTCCATTCTCAACGCCACTTTATATTATATACTTTTCTTGATATATAGTGATATAAATATATTATATGATATTTTAATATAAATAAATGTTTCATACAAAATAATAATGATATTCCCTAGAATAGTCCACCTCTTTCATTTTTTTTTAATAAGAATCTTTATTTTTTATTTGGGGGTTGATAAAATTCTTTAAATATGTAAATTAATCGAAAGGGTTAGGGTAAAGGGATACAATGGAGGGGGTTTGTAACTTGTGTAGAAATCTGGTAGATGGCGCTCGTATAGTCATTTTATTGATCACCGTTCTGGAGGTTGCATAACCAACCAAACCTAACCAATCCAAGTCAACCAAATGTTATCAAGTCGTGTTACTTGATGTAAGCACAAACAAGTAGTTATACATCATCGCAGTACTCAAGTGCCGGTAAATCCAACATATATTCTAAAGATGTGTTCGTTATACAAATCCATAGCTGTGTTATTATCGATTTCTGTGATTGCCCTGGAGGGCGTACAACCTAGTAATAACAAAGACCTCATTAAACAAAAAAGGTTGCCCCCGTGCAGGGCCTGCAAGACGTTCGTAGACTCCTTCAAAAGGGTACGTGTATTTTACCGCTGCAACACATCTTGATCATCGAAATGAGTTAGATTATTTTATCATAGATGGAGCTATTTATAATTTTAAGGGCATGGAGAGGACAGAAAAGGGCAAGTTTGAAGGGGGTGATGCAGCCTGGGAGGAGGAAAAGCTAAAGTCCTATTCCAAGAGCGAAATTAGATTGGTGGAGATTCAAGAGAAGCTTTGCTCGGATGTTGAAGAGGGACAAAACCAATGCTATTCTCTGTACGAGCAGCATGATGAACTACTGGAGGAATGGTGGTTTAACCATCAGAACGATGTGCCAGACCTATTCCAATACTTCTGCATAGAATCTATTCAACACTGCTGCCCAGAGAACCACTTTGGACTTGATTGCAAGCCCTGTGTGGGATATCCAGACAATGTATGCAGTAAAAATGGAAAATGCAAGGGTGCTGGAACTAGGAAAGGTAATGGTGAGTGCAATTGCAACAAAGGCTACAATGGAAAATCGTGCAATACTTGTGTCGACAATTTCTTCGAATCGTTCAGAAATGGGGAGCAAGTAATATGCACAGAATGCCATATGGGATGCGCTGGCAAATGCACGAAGGCTGGTCCGAAAGGTATTATCGCTACTTCGTTCCTCTTCTCTGTGATGTAAACTTTATTGATTTTAGGTTGTCTGGAGTGTGGCAAGGGATGGATAAAGAGCGAAGAAAAGGGATGCCTCGATTTGAACGAGTGTGCCGTCAGCAATCCTCCATGCGGTCTGCTTCATTTCTGCGTCAACACCGAAGGTTCCTACAAATGCCTAGACTGTGATAGATCTTGCTCAGGATGTACTGGAGATGGTCCAGATATGTGCATCCATTGTGCATCAGGTTTCATTTTACGCGACAACATGTGTATAGGTACGTTTTCGAAACCTACCCATCATAGGTCATTAAAACATATCATAATTTCCAGATACCGCTAATGAGAGCCGCCAGCACTACGTCAATTACACAAGGTACTGCGTGTACCTAGGTCTTTGTATTGCCACTTGCATCATTCTACAGAAGAACGTAGCGCTGGCAGCCGTTATAGGTTTAGCAGTTGCAATACACATATCTCTATCCGAATACATTCTAAACACACCACCTAGTCCAAACAAAACTCAAATAGCCGAGCAGATTATGCGTGCAGCTAACAACGACTTTTAACAAACTGACTGTAGTACTTTTGAAAACTCGTAATTAAATAAAAAAAAACGTTTAGTAGTCATTTAAACTTCCAGTAAGATGTGATGCAGTGACAAATATGTTGCCTATGTTGTTGGTTCACCATATCTGCCGAGAATAGCGTCTTAACCAATTTTCTTTACCAAATACTTTATACACATTACAATATAACACAAAAAAGCATTTCTTCTTCGTAAGATAAGAATTCATAAACTCGTTTTATTTCTATATTGTTTACAATCAAGTAAAAAATACCACACGTTTAAATGTAGCTGTAATCTAGTGATAATAACATAAGTAACACCAAAAAACAGCAACATTGTTACCGAGGTTTTGATATAAGTGTACTTACGACCATCTTTTCTATAGCTAAGTCAATAAGCAATGATAAATATTTTAATATTAAATTAAGTAATGGTACAAACATCTCAAAAAACAAATATACCTTAAATAATTTCTTGTTAAACTTATAACAATAGTTTTATTTTAAATTTTTTGAAATTATTTTTCATATTTGATCAAAAAAAAACACTTAATATATAAAAGTAATAAAGCAACTAAATACAGATTTCAGTCAAATTACTTTTAATTTAAAGATGTTAACACACTTAAAGAAATGGTAATTATCCATTGCGCTTTATTAGGATTAACGTATGCATTAACTTCTTAGAACTTTTGAACACTTTATAGACATATCGACGACGAGGACACATTGATAATTAGATGATTAAATAAAAGTACAATCCATTACGCTTTATATAAAAAACAAAGTTTGATGTTTCGAGTTTTTAGAGAAATATTTAACGAGTACCATAGAATACATTGCGCGTTTACAATGTTATAGTTATAGTAAATTTACAATATAATAGTTGGTCATTTTTAAAGCTAGTGTAGAGAAAGTTTCAGAAACCATTATTCTTGTCGCAGAATTAATTTTACTTGTGATGCAAATAAATGTACCATACTTATATAAAAAGCAAAACGTGAGATATTGTATAAAATTAAAAAAAAGATATTACGCTTTTATATATTTAATACTAACAATCTTGCCAATTATATGAATGTATTATGTACTTATACTATTGTCGACAAAGATTCCAAAATTGTACACTAGACGAATTTGATAAGGGTAGTAAGGGTTAAAACATGCGAGAATATTATTAAAATAATACTACAAGAAATATTCGAATTGCTAGTGAATTATAGTAAATTTATTATATGTTTAAGTAGTATTTATATGAATTATAATACATATGCTATGTACTTAAATTATATTCATTAAAGTATTTATATTAGATAATTTTAGATAAGAACTAATATTAAGTAACTTTTTGTTGAATCATTGTAAAAGAAAAGTACTTCCATAGGCATAATTTTATTTGAATGAACTAATTATTTGTACACTCGCTGCAATGAGAGTATATACTTCAACAACTTACTTAAGAATGAAATTCAAAGATACTTAAGATTATAATAGAAAAAGATTTAAATATACAATTTTGACAGTTGGAAATTAATGTGTTTATAAAAATGGATTGAATTTAATGCAAATACTTAAAACTATCTGTAATATCTTACAACTAGATGAGTATCTATATATATATGAGTATGAGTATATTAATTTTTAGTATTAAGAAATGTACATCTTGAGATTATATTTTTGAGTCGGTTGAGTTAACGGTAAAGTGGATTGCGTTATGCGATGTTTTAGAAAAAAAGCCAATTAGAAGACTTATGTTATTTAGAATTTAGTTAAATGTTTAATCCTTATTGCATTTTTTAGCTTAATCAGTTATGATTATGATAAATGCATATAAGTTGTAGAATCGGGTTTAATAAATATTATTAAATCGCAGTTTTGTTTTATAATTGTCCAATAACATTTAAAATCTAGTCTTAGTCATAAATTATTTTTAAGTTGATAATTATAGAAAGAAATTATAAATATAATAATGAAAAAAAAAACAAAGTAAAATCAATTACATTACGACAATTTGCACAACTAATAAAATGTATCAATTTTTTCCAAATATATTCGTCGTGTATAATAAATCGAGTATGACATATTTTTTTTATATGAAATTCAACATACAACTAAAAAAAAACAAGTACAATATTATTATATTTTGCTACGTTTTATGGATATGTTATGACCAATAATTAGGTTATGACGTATTAACAAAGAAAAAATTCTGGTATTGCATAGCAGTTCGATAAAATACATTATCACATATACGTTACATAAATTAAGAAAACTTGCAATATGCAGATTGGCACATGTAATTGACGATCAATGTTTGCGTTGTGAAATTATGAGGAAAGTTGATACAAATTACAAATCAATAAAGTCTTAAATAAATTAATAACATCGTTTCAAGTTTTGTTATAATAATATTATGAGATATTATTATTTAATAAATAGGTTTCAGTAATTATCCAATGTAAACACTTTCAACTTGTAATTAATACTAATTGTAATCGACTTCCCACTGGTTCAAGTCCACTTAATTAAATGAAATTATTTGAAGGTAGAATATTTCAATAGTTTATTGTAATTATCTCTTTTTGAATATAATTAAAATAAATCTAAAATTGAAATTCACTCTTATAAAATCGATTTTTTTTAATTAATTTAATTTTTTGTTGTAATTGATTCAAAATATTCTGAAGATTTTCATCAATTTTGCTGGAATGTTATTATAGCTGCACTTGTCATATATAGGAATTTCTTAATAAGCAATAGATTTGGAAGAGAAATTTGTTTTGGATAATTTATTGAGGAAATCGTAAAAAATGTAGATTACCGTTATATGAAAACACGTATTTCGAGGCCAAACTGTTCCAGTTGCAATTTCTTATAGTGTTTGAAGATCTCAAATATCTACCAAATTCTTGATATGCAATATATAATGAATTACAATTATTGTTCAACATCCATATTAATAATAAGAATATAAATATAGAATTGATTCGAAATATTGTGAAGTGAAGTTATAATATGATGTTCATTATTTCTAATTACGATGCTCATCTCGCTCTGAGAATAGATTTGAAATATTAATTAGTCTTGGATAATTTATCTTTAATTGAAAGATAAAGTCTAAAATCTAAATAATTATATTTGTAATACTAAACCAAAATTATAATATCAAACACTAATGAATGTTGGAATCTAGATTTTACACGGATGGAATAGGTTTAAGTAATTGATTATTTAAAATAATTATAACAATAAAAATAATTGAACATATACAAAATATACAATCAAATGAAACTTAGAAAGTCTATGTTTCAAACGGAAAAATAATTAAAATCGATTTTAATCACTTTTACATTGATTATGAAAAAGAAATTTAATAAGTTATTTATCATTAAAAATAAGCCAGACAATGTAAAGTGGTGCAACCCCTTATAGGGTTTTTGGGCGAGCGATTTGACGGTAGCGCGCATCGATCTTGGTTTAAAAAGGTCACGTTTCGAGATGGCAATGTGAAAAAAGGCAGAAAAATATGAAAATTGACGTCAGGACAAGGTAGTTCTGGTGTTGGGACACCAGGGCGGCGCCCAACAGCCCTTGCACGTTTCCTTGTTTACGAATATCCCGACCGGAAGCGCGTGGGATCCTGGACCTGGGCATCGCTTCCTGGCAGGCGCGGAGATCGCGTGCGACTCAAGTTGCATAACTATTCTTTCACCATAAGCGCTGTCCAGGAGTTCTAAAGGTCGGGGACCCGCCGAGCAACTTAGAAGACACCCGTTTCAAGCGTATCCTTGGATTTCACCTTTTTCCAAAGGAATATTTGCAGTCGCGCGTCCAGGATTTTCAAAAACTAGATAAAGCTGACCGCGCGATTTTACAAACCAATATTATTGACTAGCGCAAGCGCCGTTAAAGAAGACGATGACGAGGTGATTGGCTGCCTTTCAGAGATTGTGCAGCTAGCATTAAAAGTGGTTGGTGCGCTCCAGGGACGGCCATTGTGCAGTAAAAGTGATTACGTTTCAACAGGACGAGAACACAGTGTCCTCCAAGCCGTTGGTGGTTTATGACAATATCAAGATGTCATCTCCGAGTGCAGGCAAACGGCGGATGGACACAGACGTTATAAAATTGTATCCTTTTTTTTGCTGCTACCACTGGTGTCCCCTTTGTTCGATGCGTTTTAAAACGCAATGTAAACAATAACAGATTCCTTTGTATCAGCTGATTGTAGCCTCTGCGCGACCTGACATTCGTTCGTCACTCTCTACAAAGCCACAAACAACAACAACAAACAAACAACAACGGAAAAGAGAAAACGATGTTGCTAAATCCCCAATGACCATCGCAAGTTTCACATTGTAATAAATTATTGAGTTTCAGTAGCGATTTTATTTATTTAGTTAGTGTGCACCGACTTTTCAGACTGTAAACCAATGAATAATGCATACATTCGTCCTTGCGCTTTTACAAGCGTGTTTATTTATTTCACCTCTTCCTTAAATATACCTGAGAGCACAGAGTAAACATTCTATGAATTTATTATAATTTTTCTTGTTAATATAACTTTCTGATAAGTGAAGCAAACGTTAACAACAATTAATCTGTACACATATGTTGTGTTATTATTATTTTCCTTAATTGCTCAACAGGATTGAGAGTAAACATGAGGTCACCATCCTGGGGGGACTTAATGACTTTTCAGTGAAGTTCTATGGACCCAAAAGTAGTAAGTTTCATTTCATCCTGACCTCCCCAAACCCACACAACAACCTTGTCATCCAAATGAAAACAAACAAATAAACATTGCACTTTTCTCCTGCATGACAGTACTGTAACACAAAATAACAAAATGCTTCTGCTCTGAATCCAATGTTTCTTCCTGCATGGTACATTACTTGTGCTTATAAAACCCTTCAGCTGAAGTGTGTCAAACGTTTTATTTATATCCTAGAAAAGTTTGAAATGTCTGCTATTTTTATCTCATGATCCCAGTGCCCTGACGTCTCTCGCCATATGTGTGCATATATATGCTTATATACTCGCATTCATAAATACATGTATCGTTATTAAAACAAAGATCTACGATCTCTTCATTTTTTGTTGTTGTTTTTATTTTGTGGACATCTTTACTTATGATGCTGTTTTAGCGCCATACGAGGGTGGAGTTTGGAAAGTTAGAGTCCATTTGCCAGAGCATTACCCATTTAAATCGCCTAGTATAGGTTTTATGAATAGGGTCTACCATCCCAATATAGACGAAGTGTCTGGAACAGTATGTTTGGATGTTATAAATCAGGCGTGGACCGCACTTTATGGTAAATGGGAATACGAATTAAATATTAGCAATTAAAAGAATAACAATAATGAAATAACAACATTAACGCGATTACCGTGACAATTGTTCATATTTGTTCTATTTCCTTAGACTTATCGAATATTTTTGAATCTTTTCTACCACAATTATTGACTTATCCAAATCCAATAGACCCATTAAATGGAGATGCGGCTGCTATGTACCTGCACAAGCCGGAAGAATACAAGAAGAAAGTGTCAGGTAAAGTACTCGACTAGTTTGGACGTGATGTTCATTGTGCTAATGTGGCTTCTTCGTTTTTAGAGTATGTTAAAAAGTATGCGACGGAAGAAGCGTTAAGGGGGCAGGAGAACAATGTGAGTTCAGACAGTGAATCGAGTATGTCCGACTTCTCCGAAAACGAAGCCGAGGATATGGAGTTATAACCCAAATTCAGTTGCGAACAGTATACTTATCCCTTCACCCATTGGCAGACTCCAAAATAATGTGACAAACATCCAAGCTTCGTGGTTTCATCTAATTAATACAAATCTCTAAATGTCTTAAGTTTTATAAAAACTGTCATAACTCGAAAAAAAGAAAAACCAAAATATACGGTCGGGGGGAAGGGGTCGCTAACTTTTATATATCGATATATATATATATCTATATTTCTATATACCATACAAAACATACATATATTTCTATACGTGTATTAATTTATTTTTTTATTTGGGACAATATTGAATAACAGCATCATAAATTTGGGAGAAAAGACAAACAATAAGGCGACAGGGAAGAAATATTCATTAGAGTTACACACTGCGGGAAATAAAAAGAGTTATAGTTTTGTAACGCGGTTATCACAGTTTTTATAAGTACAAATGTATGTTCCCAATCTGTAATCTCTAAATGAGTGTACTCGTAGCGGTACTCAAGAGTAATTGTATTTTGAAAAATTCAATCTCTGACTTTTTGGCGAACATTTTCGATGTTACTTCTTACAATTCTAGCATGTAAGTAAGATAAATATTTATTTATTACGATCTTAGTTTGTAGTGTGCAATAACTGTGTTTGTTTTACTTTAATTTCTCATTTCTGTTTCAACAGTTGTTTACATTAGTCGATTTGTTCTCTCCAATTGTTTTATTATTAATTTTCTAATGTTATCATATTCTTATCACTACTTTTACTTAATTTTTATTCGAGGTATTCATCTTGTGTTCGGCCTCCGGTCGACGGTAGATCTTCATTTTTAGCCAATTACAAATCAACACATCACGTACACATTTACTTTGATTAATGTATTCTAATTATAAATATTAATTGATTAAGGATAATATCATATTAGATATATATGGAAACAAATATTATATATTATATAAAGAAATTTAAAAAATATATATATACTAATTTGTGCGTACATAAATACACAGATTATTATTCCTCATAAATATAGTTTCTCTACGTCGAATTTTTCTGTTTATTTACGTGCGTACGATCTTATTATAATGCGTTTAATGAATAAATGTTTCTTTTTGTATTGATGGATTATTTGGCTCTTATTATTTTTGGCGATGCACACTGGTTCTCTCTTTTGTTACTAATATTCCCTGAATTCAAGTCCACTACATTTTTTTTATTTGTTTGCACATCTACACTTAATTATTTCACTTTTGTACACTGTTTTTACAGATGCTAAGGTGAGCGTATCACTCAAAACAGCTTTTTATTCTCGTTACTAACATTATTAACACGGACTTCATTTTGGTTGAAACAAAATATTTACAAAAAAAACATGCTAAATTATACCAAATATTAATAATTATCATATATTTCCACATAACCTAAACCATTATACTAATAATTCTATCCATATAAATAATACACACTGAAGAAACATTAATTGATTGCTAACATATGAAAATAAAACAATTACCGTCGAAATAATACATATTCATATAATCCAATATTTGTTATATAAACATATTAATATTTGTTACTCTTTCCTGCTTCAGGTGGCCTTAACACATGTCAGAAAGCTATCGCGCAGTGATTTCTTGCGAATCATTGCGCGATATCGCACCTATCTTTCTTTGGATTGGCAGGATAATTGGGAAGAACGCGTTTTGTTTCTATCTTTCCTATTAATATGTGCCGGAATATGGGGTCCCGAAAACGATGTTTTCAAGTACTTTAATTAATTCAAACTTGTTTCTTTTATATCTTCCAGCAAGTAAAACATATTTTCGTTTGCTGTGGCGTATTTGCACCCAGCGATTCTTTCTTTTTTACAAACACCTCACCTCCAGATAGAGTTCACTCTCTTATATACTAAATTAATTAATATGCTTTTAGTTCGTTTTCAATGTGATATTAAATTATAATTATTTATTTTTTATTGTCTACTTAATATACAAAGTAAATTTTAAATGTATGTCTATTTTGGAATCCAAGTCTTAATTAAACCTTTTCGCAAAATGCTACAATTTTTCTGTCAAGTTTTACAGTTTTTCAAGTTACATTCTTATGGAAATTGAGATTCAATTTAAATTCATCATCTGCCCTATATACAAGATATACAGCACTTCAGACAACTCACTTTTCCAATTAATAAAATAATGTTTTATATTGCTTTAAAACATACATTTTACGATATTATATTAATGATCAACAATCGCAACTGTTTTGGATTCACTTAATCCAAAATAACCAAGATCTTCCATCATATTAACTAATCTAATCATGCGTTAATTTCAATAATTATATTAATTCAAAATTAGTATTCCTAATAATATTATTTTCACTGGAAGTAATCATTGTAACAGATTAATATTTGTAATTTCATATTGATAAACTTGGCGAAATGCAATATTAATTTTATGTTTATTAAATGGAATGGAAACTTATACTAATCACAACATAAATTACGAGGTGTGTATACGTGACCTACAACATGTGGTATACCATGGTTTATATCCTAGTACTATAGTATGACCCTATACCGTCGTTACTACTATAATACTAGGTATAATATTTCAGATTAACATTCTACAAGACAGAACAGAGTAGAAAATAAAAAATACATATTTTCAAACGTACATGGTAGTAATATGTAAATATGACAGCTGCTCTCCACAAGACGTCATGGATACAAGATAATAATTTGTAAACAAATATAACGTCTTCCTGTTTTGGTGTTCTTTTCTACATAACATCGCATGTAAAACAACTTACTTGTCAATATAAGGAAAATCGATGAGAACTTGAAATTTCTTTAGAGCTCTGTAGTTAGAGTGGGCCTGTTTACACGTATTTTTGTTTTCTATTTGAATAACTACTGAATAAAGATTATTGTTATTACATAATTATTTAAAACTTTTTCAAATGTAAGAGAAAATTTAATGCAATTCGAAAACCATACCAAAATACATATTAATCAGGGACAAACAAAAACCGCTATTAATCTTAAATATGATGAGCCAATTAGGAAATTTTCCATATCATCAAGGAATGTTATCTAATTTTAAAAATATTTTTATCATATGCATGATTTCAAAACAAAGAACATAATAACGCATTCAAAAATACCAATTCAATCATAAACACTGATAATACTTGAAGAATTGTTCAAAGACACTAATCACAATTTACGTTGTTTTGGTGTGTTAAGCTTGAAGAATAATGAAAACCGCGATTCAAACAGATAAGGGAATTTATATAATTGCAAATTGTCCAGAATTTGGTCACACCTGAATATTGAGAAGGTAGAGACAAGTGCAATAATATTTACATTGCATATGATAACCTTTTGAACTTATTCTGAGTGGTTTTTATTGTTGTAGATAGCTGAAGCGCTCAAGATTCAAACCGCGTCACGTGGAAGACGGAACCTTCAACACCATTGGCTAAGAACCGAAAACATCGTATTGTTATCAATGTTGTTTTGTGTAATGGTTTAAAGGCGGGATTAACAGTAGTTGCGAAGACCTAGACTTCAGTACGATCAGATTTTCATATATTCATAAGGATTAGTGCGAATAATAACCAGAAGTTATCTGATAGATCTTCTTTGCAACGTGTAATAGGCAGGCGCTCCACCCCCACCTTGGCTCGCACAGACCTGCAGTTAGCTTCACGACGTTGGTTTTGTAATCTGGTAAATAATTGGTTTGTTTCCGTACTGCTAGTATTTATCTGGCGAATAAAACAAATAATCTGGATAAAGTTTCTTGGATCGGCGACGCGACTTCCCAGTAAGACTTTCTTTGCCTCAGAATCACACATATTTTTAGTTGCACATAACAGAATTAATGTAAACAACATATTTGCCTGAGTTCTAACCTTAAATGGTTAAATTGAATTTCAACTTGCCAAACATTAAAGTCCCATTAACATGTTTACACAAAACATCTCTTTACCTATAATACTTGTTGCTCTATGTACTCTGTTTTAATTGCTAGATATTAATGAAAAGCACCTCTCCATTAATTGTCTGTTTATGTGCCATAAACAGTCTCCAGTTGATTATTCATTTAAGTTTTTCACATATGTGTCATGTAGAGATATTATGATTTTTCGATATTCCTTGTTGTTTATGCAGCATGTCAATAACCCCTAGTTGATGGCTCTTCCTGTTTCAGATGAGACTGATCATATAAGCATGATTGACCAGAGAGAGATTTGTCAGTGAAACTTTGAAGATGGTTGAAATAGGATCATCCAGCCTCTTGCATCTCGGGGATGTAGTGTCCCTGTATGCTGAGGGCAATGTCAGCGGCTTCCTCAGCACTTTGGGGTAACAAAATCTCAATCAAATTCCATATGCAAATTTTATTTACTTTATTTTCTATTTAGGCTGGTTGATGATAGGTGTGTGGTGTGTCCAGAAGCTGGGGACTTGGCAAGTCCACCAAAGAAATTCAGAGATTGTCTGTTTAAAATATGCCCTATGAACAGATACTCTGCTCAAAAGCAATTTTGGAAAGCTGCCAAACAAAGCATGGGATCAAACACTGATACTGGATTACTTAAAAGGCTCCATGTACGTTATGATTTTATTTTATTTTTTTTAACTTTTACATTCATTCATATCCTTCTTCATATTCCTTGTCTAAGCAACATTTTGCTGACCCAGATTACATACACCTCATTTCTCATTTAAAAAAAACTGTTAATAGATTTATTATTTTGTAAATATTTTAGTTCTATCTAAAATTAACATAATCTAAAAAAAACTCTTATTGAACTCTCATTACTCAAATAATGTATTGAAAGATTTCTATTTTTTTAGTTATTTTTAACTAAATGTATTTTTTTTTATAAACATTCAATTATATTAATATTGTATGATTTGAGTACCGAAACATCTATATTGTATTGTAAAAAGCATTTTGTTTTTGCTACAACACAAGAATTACTTTTCATTGTTTATAGTATTTACACAATTGAAGATTTATTTAAACTAAACTACCAAATGTTTGTCAGATTTGTAATATTTAAGCATAACAGTTTGTATAGAATTGCCTTATAAATTATCCAGGATTATCAGTATTTGTTTGTTGAAATACTTCCATTTACTGTTTGTTTTAGTGATCTGTTATTGGTTACATCATGTGTATGACAAGTACTGTTATTATTTAGGCTTGCTGCACTTGATGATTGTCATCCATAATTTATGTAACATTTAAATGCATATTTGTTTATTTTTAAAATATGTAATGCTATTAACTCTGTATAATCATGTGTTATTTTAGATGGTATTTATATTTGTTGGGTACTAATTTGCATTCGATTTTCTATATTATTCAATCTGTGTTTACATTAATGTTTCTTTTATTTGTTTTTTTTAACACCAGTTGTACATACATATTTATAATTGGTTTTGGGTGAGCACATTCTATTTGCTACATGTTTGTGCGGAAATGCATGCTTTAATTTAACATTACTAATGATTCATCTTAAGAAGATTTTCATCAAGACATATTTCAAATATTCATGCTTGTTTTTTTCTACATAATTATTTGCAGAAACCACATCTATTTACTCAAAGATTTATGTGATATACCGAAGGAGATCATAATTTGAACCATTCATAGTAGATTCCCGTATAACGCGGTTAATACGCTACTTTGTCCCAATATTTTTAGGGCGTTGTACAAACTCGCGTTATACGGGTTTATTTTGTATTCGTATTTTAAATCAAAATTAGTTGAGAATTAAGCTTTTTCGATCTTTTGACGACAATCACTCTAACCAATCAGCAAATCAATAGGAAAACACGAATGACGTCTGAACTCCAATTAAAATCGAGTGAAATGTTAACGAATCAAATAATTTTGATTGAAAAATATGTAGCAAGCTAAGGCTATGTTAATTGATAATAATCATTCTTTATGTAATTTAAAACTCATGATTATTTATTTCCCAATGTTGCTTCATGGTTGTAGATTGTTGATATATTTGGTATAACCATATTCTCGTTAAGGCTTCAGGAATCGTGGTATTTTTATTTACATGATCTTGGATTTGGCCTACATGTACGAAAATTGATTTAGACGTCAATGGATATTAGTTTTAACGGGAAGATGATCATACAGGATCTTTTATATTGATTTGCTATTTTTCATTGTCATATATATTTTTACAGCATGCGGCCGAGATCGAGAAGAAGCAGAATGATAGCGAAAACAAGAAGTTGATGGGATCAAATGTGCAATACGGAAGTGTGGTTCAATTACTCCATCTGAAATCTAATAAGTATTTGACGGTGAACAAACGTCTGCCGGCGTTGCTTGAGAAGAATGCGATGCGTGTATATTTGGATGGTAATGGAAATGAAGGATCCTGGTTCTACATTCTACCATTTTACAAGTTGAGAGCTAATGGCGATAACATTGTGTTGGGTGACAAGGTCATATTGAATCCGGTGAACGCTGGACAGCAGGTGTTGCACGTCGCCGCTAATCACGAGCTCCCAGATAATCCAGGCTGCAAAGAGGTGAACGTGGTAAATGGAAGTACTTCGTGGAAAGTTACGTTGTTCTTAGAGCATAGAGAGAATGCTGAAGATGTGCTTAAAGGTGGTGACGTGGTGCGTCTTTTTCACGCCGAGCAGGAGAAGTTTCTTACCATGGATGAGTACAAGAAGACTCATCATGTGTTTTTGAGGACAACGGGTAGGACCAGTGCTACCGCTGCTACAAGTAGTAAAGCTCTATGGGAAGTTGAGGTGGTACAGCATGATCCTTGTCGAGGAGGAGCCGGCCATTGGAACTCCATATTTCGTTTTAAACACTTGGCTACTGGACAGTACTTGGCAGCTGACATGGATAGCGATCAAACCATGGACCAGATGCGAACTAAGCTTAGAACTGATTTAGGCTCATCAGGAGAATCATGCGTATATCATCTAGTACCAGTTGCGTTTTCCAACGAAATAGCATCCCTTTTCGAGTTAGATCCAACTTCGTTAACTAGAGCCGATTCCCTGGTACCGCAATCCAGCTATGTCCGATTACATCATATTTTCTCCAACACCTGGGTGCACTCCACATCGATCCCAATAGACAAGGACGAAGAGAAACCCGTAATGTCGAAGGTCGGTAGCGCCATGATGAAGGAGGACAAGGAAGCATTTGCATTGATATCTGTAACGCCGGTAGAAGTTCGTGACCTTGACTTTGCGAACGACGCCTGTAAGGTGTTGCTCGCTCTCTCTACTAAGTTAGAAAATGGAACGATATCTCATAACGAGCGTAGAGCCGTGACAACGCTACTCCAGGACATTGTTTATTTTGTAGCTGAATTAGAAAATGAGCAAAATAAGACGGAAGCTTTAGAATTGGTCGTTACGAATCCAAATCGCGACCGCCAGAAATTACTGCGAGAACAGGCGATCCTGAAGCAGCTGTTCAAGATACTCCAGGGTCCATTCATGGAGAGCGACGGAAAACCACCGTTTCTTAAGATCGAGGAGCTGAGCGACCAAAGACATGCACCATACAAATATATCTTTAGATTATGTTATAGAATTCTCAGACTGAGTCAACAGGACTACAGGAAAAATCAAGTGCGTTACCACAACTTCGATCATTTAGTTTTCTTTTTATATAATAGTTAATTTCAGGAATACATCGCGAAGCACTTCGGTTTTATGCAAAAACAAATTGGTTACGATATACTCGCGGAGGATACAATCACTGCTCTATTACATAATAATAGAAAACTATTGGAGAAGCATATAACTGCCGCGGAAATTGAAACTTTTGTTGGTTTGGTTAGGAAGAATATGCGCAATTGGGAATCGAGATTCTTAGACTACCTTTCCGATCTGTGTATTTCCAATAAGAAAGCCATACCAGTTACGCAAGAATTGATTTGCAAGAGCGTACTTAGTGATAAAAACTATGACATATTGATCGAGACGCGTATGATGATTACTCCAATAGAAGTTCAAGAAGTCAACGATGATCTAAATTGTATTACTGACAATGACGATGAGTTAGAGCCTCTAGTCACGTTTATAGAAGAAAGACAAGTTTTATTGCTATGGAATAATCGACAGAAATCAAAATCTTTGAGTGAATTATGCAGAGATGCAAAAATGGGCGGGCGTGATGACCAGGCGATCTTGGACTATTACCGGCATCAACTGGATTTGTTTTCGAACATGTGTTTGAATAGGCAGTACTTAGCGTTGAACATACTATCACCTCAACTTGATATTGATTTGATCTTGAAATGTATGGCAGATGAATCCGTTAGTTACGATTTGCGGGCTTCTTTCTGTCGGCTGATGCTGCATTTACACGTCGACAGAGATCCTCAGGAGCCAGTAACGCCGGTGAAATATGCGCGGCTTTGGTCTGAAATTCCATCAAAGATGTCGATTAATGAGTAATTATTTTAACAGAAATTTACTTTCGATTAGTTTCTAGAAATTATTATTTGCAGCTACGATAGTAATAAAACCCCGGACGAAAATAAGGAAGCAGTTCAAAAGCGATTCTGCTCGACGATCGCTTTCGTTGAGGATTACCTATGTAATGTTGTTGCAAAAATGTGGTCGTTTGCCGATCAAGAGCAAAACAAGTTGACTTTTGAGGTAATTGTTTCGGATCAATGCAATTTCAAAGAAATTATTATTAATCAATAACCGATTTTAGGTAGTAAAACTAGCACGAGAACTAATTTACTTTGGGTTTTATAGTTTTTCTGATTTGCTAAGACTAACAAAAACATTACTCAGCATATTGGACTGCGTTTCTGAGAACGATTTTGTCGATGGCCGATTGCCAATTGGAGATGTCGACTGTAAGTATATGCTTTTATCCAATAAACTTCATACAATAACAATATATAAGAGTAATAGCTAGACGAATATACCAAATAATTTTGTCTATTTAGCTGAAGAGTGCGTATCCAAGGAGGAACGAGGTATATCGATGTATACTAGTTGTTGTTTAGTTTATACATTATTTTGTGGAATGATTTTTTGTTCTATTGTGTGATTTGCATGTTGATGTTCCAATTGATATCGAGTGGTTAGCTAATTCAATATCTTGTTCATAGCGGAAGGAGGTGTACTTCGTTCTATAGGTGATATGGGTGCTGTGATGACTTCATTCGCTCTAGGACCAGTGGGCAGGTCGGTGGTTTCACCGAATTCAGGACAAAAAGTTGGCCTTAAAGAATACCCGTTGGTCATGGACACTAAATTAAAAATAATCGAAATATTACAAGTAATTTCAGAAGCTCTTGTTATCAACATCCACTAATATATATATTTTTTTTAAATTTCAGTTTATATTAGACGTGCGGTTGGATTATAGAATTAGTTGTCTTTTAAGTATATTCAAGCAGGAATTCGATGAATCTGAGAAGAATACAGCTGATTTAGCTATGGGCAATAAGAACATCGATTTAGAACTGATTGGTAGCCAGGCTGAAGGCATCTTTGGTAGTAGTGAGGAGTGTGCGGTCTTAGATCTGGATGGTCACGGTGGTAGGACTTTCTTGAGAGTGCTGCTGCATTTAACCATGCACGACTATCCACCTTTGGTGTCTGGAGCTTTGCATCTTCTCTTTAGGCATTTTAGCCAACGACAAGAAGTTCTTCAGGCTTTCAGGCAAGTACAACTACTTGTTTCCGACAGCGACGTGGAATCTTATAAGCAGATCAAGCAAGATCTGGACGTGCTTCGACAATCGGTAGAGAAATCAGAATTGTGGGTATACAAATCAAAATGTGTCGAGGACGCTTCGATTAAGAAGAGCAAAGACGAAGAAGAGGAAACGACGTCGCGAAAATCACCTCCGATCAGCGCCATTGAGAAGAAAGGATCTGCGATTAATTTAGACGTTGGACCTCTTCTGCATCCAGAACAAGCGGCGGAATATAAAAAAATACAGCAAATCCTAATCAGAATGAACAAGCTATGTACTCAGGGTTCTCCGGCAAACTTAATCAAGCCAAGAAAACACGAGCAAAGGCTGTTGAGGAACGTTGGTGTTCACACGGTTGTTCTGGATTTGCTCCAAATACCTTACGACGAGAAAGAGGATATTAGAATGAATGAATTGATGCGCCTAGCTCATGAATTCTTACAGAATTTCTGCCTGGGCAACCAACAGAATCAAGTGTTGCTCTACAAACATTTAGACCTCTTCTTAAATCCAGGAGTACGAGTGGTACTGCTCATTTAGTATTGATTTATTTACAAACTTCGTTTCAGATTCGCGAAGCCCAAACTGTTTGCGCTATTTTCCAGGATAACTCGACTTTGTGCAATGAAGTGAACGAGAAAGTTATACAGCATTTCGTTCATTGTATTGAAAGCCATGGTAGGCATGTGCAATATTTAAAGTTTTTACAGACTATTGTGAAAGCTGAGAATCAGTTCATTAGGAAATCGCAAGATATGGTTATGCAAGAAGTATATATTTTATTTTTGCTTATTGCAAGATTTGTAATACGGGTCAATTTTAGTTAATAAATTCGAGCGAAGACGTGTTAATTTTCTATAACGACAAGGCTTCATTCAATCATTTCATCGAAATGATGAGGTCGGAGAGGCATAGCATGGATGATGGTAGTCCACTACGGTACCACGTAGAACTGGTCAAGCTGCTCGCCTGCTGCACCATGGGCAAGAACGTCTACACGGAGATCAAGTGTCACAGCCTGTTGCCGCTGGACGATATTGTGGCAATGGTTACCAATCCTGATTGCATTCCAGAGGTGAAGGAAGCCTACGTAGGTTTCCTAAATCACTGCTATATAGACACAGAGGTCGAGATGAAGGAGATCTACACATCAAACCACATGTGGAGTCTATTCGAGAAGTCATTTTTGGTTGATATGGCGGACATTGCGACCGCCCCCATCGATCGTAAACACCCGGACAAAGCATTGGAAAATTACGTAACCAACGGCGTTATGAATATCATTTCTACGTTTTTCAGCAGCCCCTTCTCAGATCAAAGCACCACGGTTCAGGTATAAAGCGTATTTAGAACGTGCATGTATAATTTTTTTTTGCGATTTTTATTATTGGGACTTTATTTAAGATTTATTTATTTTTTTATATATATATATAATTTTATATATTTCATATACTTATATATTAAGCATTTGTTTTGGAGAACGATGATCATCGAATAAAACAGTATTCATAGATCGCACTTCTTGCGGGGTAGTGGCAAAGTTAGAAACAATTAAGAAGCTTTATTGAATGGTAGCAAAGGTAATAAAACAAGGAAGTTACATCTATGAACCAAAGTGTACTTGATGATTAGCGTTGCCCGATTCAGGTGATTTGTATATGTATATATTTGTTGGGTGATGGTTTTGCTAGAAACATCTGCATGAAGCAAGGGTATTTTGGAGTGATTCAACTATGGATGACTACGATCCATTTACATCTAACGCACCTCTAAAATATTCGCCATTCCCGTGTAACGTAAGTAATTTTTTTGGGCTATACATTTTGCCTGACATAAACTATAATAGAGTAGCGATTCTATTTAGAAAAACTATCACTCACACGTTCCCATAGGGATTCGAACCGGATAACGTGGGAATATTGGGCTTCTGATCGCATGGAAAAATCGAATATCTATCCTTGACTACTGGTGGAAGGCACCTATCGAGGGTTCACTAACGCTACGCGCTTTACAATACTACCACTTATATGTACACTACACATTTTTTAAAATGATTTCGATAGTTTGTAATTTAAATTTTTACCTGCAATTATTTTGCAGACACGACAACCGATTTTTGTGCAATTGTTGCAATCAGCATTTAGGGTTTCCCAGTGCCCATGGCTAGCCGCTTCGCAACGCTTTAATGTTGAAAATTGTATCCGTACATTATCAGAAGTTGGTTAGTTCATATTTTATATCACGTAAATTATTGTGTTTAATATACTAACTGATTACAACGTTTTAGCAAAAAATAGGGGGATTGCAATACCTTTGGATTTAGAGAGTCAAGTTACCAGTATGTTTGATAAAGCCTCTATATTAAGTCGCCAAACTAGTAAATGGCTTCAAGCTTCGAAGATGCCAAAAATTGAAAGATCGCAATCACAGGTAGGATCATCTAGGTATATTTCGATAGCGCAATGATTAATTTGATTTGTAGTTGATGAGGCTTGACAGGAGCATCATTGAGGGTTTGCAGGACATCGTATCATTGCTTGAAGACCAGTTGAAACCTCTGGTACAATCCGAATTATCGTTGTTGGTTGACGTATTGTACAGGCCAGAATTACTATTTCCTGCCGGTACAGAGTCTCGGAAGAAGTGCGAAAGTGGTGGTTTCATTAGGCGGTAATGTATCTCATAAACGAACGAACGTCCGTGACTCACGATCTCCTTTGTAGCTTAATTAAACATACTGAGAAGTTGCTCGAGGAAAAGGAGGAGAAGCTGTGCGTCAAAGTACTGCGAACGCTCAGGGAAATGATGGCCATTGATCCGGAGTATGGCGAGAAGGTAAGATCCGGATAAAACGCAACAATCGACATTAACATTCATTAACATCTACTAATCTGATTTATTGTATTTAAATTGTTTTGCGCGCCGCTAGAGCGAGGAAAAGTCGGAAACGAATGAAGTGGTATGGGTTTTATACAGATCTATTTACACAATGCTTACGTACTTTATTTGTTGCACATTATTTTACTCTATTTTCAATGATTCTGCATGGCGTTTACATCTCTTCGTGTTTATAATAAAAATGAGAATAGAAGTCGCACATAAAATCTGCGGGTCTCCGGTTTTAACTACAACTAATTCCGATCTATTTTCATTTGCCAGGGCGACGTGCTCAGAAACAGCCTACTCACCAGATACTTCGGCAAGTCTTTCATGCCTAAGAACGAGGTTGAAATTACCACCATTCAGGTATCCACCGTGATGCATGGACCTGGAGGTCAGTAAACTTATTATTTTTGTTTTACAAAACTAAAAAAAATTGACAACATCTATTTTGCATTTATGTATAGCTAAAATATTAAGTCGAGCGGGTCGCACTTTACACGAAGTTCAGACCCACTTGGACAAGGAAGGAGCTTCTGATTTAGTTGTTGAGTTGGTTATAAAATCGGTGCATTCACCTTCTATTTTCGGGGAAGCTGTGGAATTAGGTATAGCGTTGCTGGAAGGCGGAAATCCGATAATCCAGAAGAGCATGTTCAATAAGTTACTTGGGGGAGACCTTAGTCAATCATTTTTCAAAGTAGGTTTTTTTTGTAATATAAACGACGAACAGAAAATAAAAATATATATTACTGTAGGTTTTCTATGATAAAATGAGGGATTCCCAGCAAGAAATTAAGTCAACTGTGAGCGTGAACACGTCAGATATGGCTGCGAAAGCTCACGAGGATAAACAGGAGAGTAAAGATATGGATAAACTGTCGCGAAGACAGGGTGGGAAATCTAATGGTATTTTGATAAGCGAAGAATTAAGGGATGAGCTTAATAGGGCGGCGGAGTCGACTTCGCAAACGTACGCGCATATTAGAAGCATGGGAGCTAGTGATGATAACAGTGTAATGATAGCTGGAGCAGTGTCTGCCTTTGAAGATATGTTAGCTGAGAAGCTAGAGAAGCACCGTGAACGGGAGGATCAAAACAGCTTATCTACTAAAGTGTTAATCATGCAGCCGATCCTGCGATTCCTGCAGCTTCTATGCGAAAATCACAATCCAGCTCTGCAGAACCTGCTGCGTAATCAAAACAACAAAACTAATTACAATCTGGTATCTGAAACGCTGATGTTTTTGGACTGCATTTGCGGTTCGACGACAGGCGGCTTAGGCTTGCTGGGGCTTTACATTAATGAAAACAATGTGTCTTTGATTAATCAAACGTTGGAAACGCTCACTGAGTACTGCCAGGGCCCGTGTCATGAAAACCAAAACTGCATTGCGACGCACGAATCTAATGGCCTTGACATCATAACGGCCTTGATCCTGAATGACATTAACCCTCTAGGGAAGTCGAGAATGGATCTAGTCCTTGAACTGAAAAACAACGCATCAAAATTGTTGTTAGCAATAATGGAAAGTCGCGGAGATAGTGAGAACGCGGAACGAATACTATACAATATGAACCCTAAGCAGTTGGTGGATGTGGCGTGCCGCGCATTTCACCAGGAATCATTGGATGACGAAGATGATGATGATGACGAGGGAAACGGGGATGATGCGGTGTCTCCTCGGGAAGTGGGTCATAATATTTACATTCTTTGCCATCAATTAGCTCAACACAATAAGGAATTAGCGGCTTTGCTCAAACCAATAGACGGCGGGAACGATCCTAAAACTCATCAGGCTCTGATCTACTATGCGACGCACACAGCTCAAATAGAAATCGTTCGTCAGGATCGCACTCTGGAACAGATCGTTTTCCCCATACCGGAGATATGTGAGTACATAACTACCGACACAAAGTACAAGATCTTAACGACGGCGGAGCGTGATGACCAAGGATCCAAAGTGGCCGAGTTTTTCGATAGGACTGATGCTATGTTCAATGAAATGAAGTGGCAAAAGAAGCTGAGGGGTGTGTATTTCTATAGATTTGCCTAGATTTTGTTTTCATCGTGCAGATTTTCCAGCCCAACAGTTCCTGTACAAAGTCAGTAACTACATGTCGCTGTGGAGCAACATCCTATTCAACTGCGCGGTATTGATTAACTTAATAGTTGCTATATTTTATCCGTTCAACGACACTGTGCCAAGTAAGTATGGATATGGTTTTCTTGATTTCAAATACCCACATCTGTTTTTTTTCTTTTAAAGCAAACAATCTTGTAGCTAGTAAGTACAGCTATACTTGATGTCGTCTCTTTTTTTTGCGATTACTTCCTAGCCTTTCTGTTAGATTTGTCTTAATGAGATTTCTATACGACTTACGAACTTTTGACACAAGTGGTTCAAATTGTCCATTAACGTCGATATAACGATTTAAGCCATTTGATCGATTGTTTGTAGTCCATCGAATAGCTGTATTTAATATTTTTGCGTTCTAGAGTTGGGTCCGACGGGATCTATTCTGATCTGGTTAGCAATGACCTGTTCAGGGGCAATTGTATTCACATTGCCCAGGGAGACTGGCATAAGGACATTTGTTGCTTCGACGATATTGCGACTTATATTTTCTTTGGGGCCGGAGCCTACTTTAGCACTCTTAGGGACTTTGACTGTCTTTCTGAAGGGCATACATCTAGTCAGTATAATGGGTAATCATGGTACGCACACAAAAACATACCAGCAAATCCTAACCGATGCCGAGCTACTCTACCACTTAGCCTATTTAGTCTTCTGTATGCTGGGGCTGCTAATGCATCCTTTCTTCTTCTCGGTTCTGGTAGCATTTGATCCAAATTTTCAATAAATACGGTGGGTTTAAAAGATGTTCTGTGTTTTAGCTGTTCGACGTCGTCTACCGGGAGGAAACTTTGCTCAACGTTATAAGATCAGTCACGAGGAATGGAAGATCGATCATATTAACTGCCGTCTTAGCTCTAATTCTTGTTTATATGTTCTCCATTATTGGCTACATGTTCTTTAAAGACGACTTCTTGGTGAGCGTTGACGGCGACGACGACGATAGTTCGCGTAAGTACTTCCAGTGATTCCTTTGATCCAGCTCTACTCCTCCCGCTTATACAAACACTTATATAAGTAAACACTTTCCTCCGCAAGAGAAAACCACTTAGCAGATTCGAATTTTGTTGCAGATGCCAATAAACCTGTAGACGAGTTTAGTTGCGAATCAGTGGCCGATAAGTACAGTAAAACGGGAAGCAGCCATGAGCAATTGCATTGCCATAGAGAAGTCAAAGAGCGAGCCTGTGATTCCCTAATCATGTGCATAGTGACTACTTTAAACCAAGGTTTGAGGAACGGGGGTGGTATTGGTGATATTCTTAGGGCTCCCAGCAGCGCGGTTAGTTAATACTATCTTTACAACAATTACCTATATTAATTACATTTAACAATTTCAGGAAGGTTTATTTGTGCCACGAGTTGTTTATGATCTCTTGTTTTATTTCATTGTTATTATTATTGTACTTAATTTAATTTTTGGTGTCATCATTGACACCTTTGCCGATCTGAGATCTGAGAAGCAGCAGAAGGAGCTCATTCTGAAGAACACCTGCTTCATTTGCGGTACGTACCATCCATTTACATCATGCACATCCATCTATCCGTTGCAAAGTGTACGTTCGTTTGAAATTCTAGTACGTCCATGCGATTAAAGAACTTTTGTTATGCGTACAACGTTTACTTAATATGTCAATATATATGCATTTAATATATATATACATATGCACTAAGCTTTATAACATTATGTAATCCGTTAAAAAATACTTTAAACTTTTAAAAGCCAAGGCCTACGAAAACCAAGCGAAATATTGCTTATGAATAATTCATAAATTCCGGTAGGAAGGGTTTTCATGCTGAAAATCAATACTATATACAAGTCTTCAGAATATAATTTCTTCCGAAAGCGACTTTTGTTTCCAAGTTGAAGTTGAATTATCGATAAGTTTCGAATCGAACGTGTACTTTACATTGCGTGCATTTACTTAGAAAGGTTTATATATCAATAAGCTCTCTGGAAGTTTTCCTCGCATGGAACTTTTCGGGCGTTTCTTCCGTAATACAAATGCCTACAAACAAAACTTTGTAACTTTAATAACTCAATCATTTCTATTAACTTTGTGACTTTTATATATAAACAATTTCCAATAATTATCTACTTTCAAGTAACTTATACAAATTGCACTACACATTTTTAAAAGGAATAAAATGATATCCTTTCAAGTTTTTTTTTCTGTAACATTCAAATTGTATCAGTACATTCAAATATTTCTTGTAAAAAAGTATTTTACTACAGTATAAAATTGGAGTATTGTTTTTGCAAAATTACTGATTACTTTTCTTATTTTCAGGTTTGAATCGTTCCGCGTTCGATAATAAAACCGTAAGCTTCGAGGAGCACATAAAATGCGAACACAACATGTGGCATTATTTGTACTTTATAGTCCTGATTAAGGTGAAGGATCCAACAGAGTTTACGGGTCCCGAGAGCTATGTCTATGCTATGGTGAAAGCGGTAAACCTGGATTGGTTCCCGCGTTTGCGCGCCATGTCCTTGGCATCCGTCGAGGGTGATGGAGAGCAGATCGAACTTAGGAGTCTTCAGGTACAGCTGGAAACGACGCAGACCCTGGTCCAGACCCTCTCGCAGCAACTGATGGAGCTGAAGGATCAAATGGCCGAGCAACGCAAGCAGAAACAACGCATCGGACTCCTGAATTCGGCCTCAGCGTACTTACATACGAACAACGCGTCTTAGATCACACATCTAGTTGTACCTTTCTTCGAATCATTCGGACGAATGGCACACATTAACACTGAATGTTATACAGATTCTTTTTTTGTAGTAGTATTGCGGCAATACTCATAAATAACATAGCGTACGTAGACGACGAAAATCTAGTTGCTCACGTGTTATCATATCTCCCGTATCTCTAATCAAATTACTTTGTCGTGGTTTTAGGGTGGGTGTCTCGTTATTACTGTGTTTCTTATTTTATTTTTTTTTCTTAAATTTTATTCTTTTCATAGACGCACGGAGAGATGGGTTTTTTAATTACACTGTACTTTTATTTTATCCATATCGATTCATGTCACCCATTTATCTCTTTTTGTCTCTCGAAATTGGATGTTGTATCGATTTGTTGTTTAATGAAAGAAATCTCTACCACATAGCGCAAGGGAACAAACAGTTGTTCTCTATAAATATATCTCTCTCGTTCTATCTTCATTTGAACCAAACAAAAAGTATGACCAAACAGTGGTCATACCGCCCTATCAAAAGGAAAACGTATTGTCGATTTGTTAAAAGCCATATAAATTTTATTGAATAAATTTTAAAACATATACCGAGCCGATAAGTTTTCTTTAATGAAACCAGAAATAGAATAGGGTGGGATGAATAGCGAACATTGGCAAACACGTGCATGTAGTGACACGCGGGGAGAGGGTGAGAGAGATGTATAGTAGTGAGACAGTGGAGTTGGGATGGATGCTGTATTGATTCGTTTCGCGAAATAGGACGACATTTAAGCCTACTCCAAATGAAAATAATTAACGGCATATTTCATGTTTATGTATTTCGCGATGATCCTATTATAATGCATACAATAAGACAAGTATAGAGCTCTACTACAAGGCGACAGAACGAAAAGCATTGATACATTTCGCGATCCTTTCGAATAGTCAAATTGTTAGGGATAATAGTCCTTTTTATATAATAATAATAATGATATATAGATATAATATAATAATATAAATGAATGTATTGATTCCGTAGACTTAATAGACTAATTACTGATAATGTTGTATCAAACACAGGGTTTATTTTTCATGTTGATATATATAAGCTAGATGAAATGGAATTGTTATATACACATAGATAGATTTTAATGATTTTATTTTGTAATTTCTTTGTTGTCTTCTTTTTTTTGTAAAAGTTATTGGACAGTTTTTCTTTCATGTTTTTTTTTGTGGAATGCTGGTCCAGTGCTGAAACACATGGCATTAAACACTTTCTGAAAACGAAACAAATTTGATATTAATTCAGTTGAGTAATAAATCCTTGGCTCTCCGTCCAAATCGCTGCGAATTTTGCAGCGTTCTCCAGAAAACAAAAGAATGCACATCCATTGGTGGATTGCGTAACGATTGGATTCTGTATTGATTTTCAAATGGGCGAAGGGTAAAAAATATAACAAATAAATAAACGATTAAAACAGAACATTTGCTCGGAATCGCACTAATTAAACTGTTCCAGTAAATGGGTAAATTGCGAGGGATTGCAATTTCAGGATAATACATACGCATTTTGTTTGTGCGCGCTGCTAGCTTTTCCATCCCCCAGCCTAGCCTAGCCTACGTGCCGAAGAGCTCAAATCCTGGGATTAGAACGCATGATTTATTTTATTAAATATTCGATACACTGGAACGATCAGTCGCGTGGAAATTAACTGGATTCATCATTTTCCAGGTGATTTACTCAACTCGTTTATCAAGGTGTGTTTTTTTGTTATCCAGGTTGATCTACGTTGAAGAAAACCGGAGCATTAAATATACTGAGAAATATTACGAAACTTCGAATAATAAATGCGTTTTTTTTTTCAGGATTCAAGTGGATGACGCTTTAAAATAAACACAGACTACTTTGTACTCGTAAATAACACAGAGTGTTTCAGATCTTTGAGATGCGAAATGACAAAAGGAATAAACTTCAACGCAATTTAATAATAAATATTGTTAACGAAACTACTGTCCTTTACTTGTACAAATCGAACAATGCTTAGAGTTGTAAAGAGATTGAAACTAATGAAATTCTGCTTTATAAATTAACTGTTTTTCCATTCATCATTTCGTCAACATCTGTGTTGTAAGTGATTTATCAAAGTTATTTTTTTTCAGGAAACTTTGTTCTACATTCAGTTAAACTCGTGTACGGCAAATTACACGTAATGAAAATAACCCATATATCTTTTTTTTGCAACACATAAAATTGGAGCGCAGAGTTACGAGAATCATTTTTTTTTGAAACAAGGGCAAAGTTTTTGAAACGGGGTTGAAATGGTCGATAACCTATTGACCCGGCGCATCCTCCAACTCTTACTTTGTTACATCTCGTCTTTTGTATATTGTAATTCATGAATTATAATTATTAACAAATATTAATACGTAAAATTGTGGAAGCCATTATTCATCGAATTACGTATTCTATTATGTGCATATTTAGTTGGGATGCTCCGTCGAACTCTCAAGAGATCTATGTATTATGTATAATGCGGTCTTTAGATTTGCCCTTGTAATAATCTAATTCCGCCAGTTCGAACTGATATATTGTCCTAACTGATTTATTTTAGTTTTGTATGACATTTAATAATAAAGGAGGATTTATTGTCAATATGTAAATTGAAATTTATTTATAATTGGAACGTATATTTCATAAATTTCCCCAATTTAAATGAAAATCTTTGAAATTATTAATATTTTACAAAACTGTTTTAATTTTATTGAAATAACACTTAATCAGAACGATATATTTATTATATAAATTACTTAAATCTAAACATCTTTTATTTGAATAATTATTAATTTTAAAATTATTAATTATGTGAAAAAATAAACTTTAAATTTTAATAAATATATTATGTTTTATTTCATAACTTCAGAGTATACAGATGAATCGCTTGTTATTAATGATAATATTACGATATTCTATTATTGTAAACTGAGTACATCATTACTATTGTCTAAGTTGATACAATGTTGGTGATCTAATGCAATGGTTAATGTACAGCGTTGTTGTTGCCCGTCCTTTCGTATGATTTATAGTACGTAATCATTAATTATCTGGAGCATAGTTTATGTGTTTAGCAATTAAAACGCCGATACTGCTTAATAATTTAAGCCTAACAAAAGGGTGTATTTTAATTACTTTTTTTTACTGTTTTTGCTTATGTATCGATCCTTTCTAATACCACGATGATTTACTACGGCTATTTGTGCATATATTTCAAGGATAATGGTTGTTTATGTATGATGATTTAAAGCTGTGTATCAGATGACAACAGCCTCTCGTAAAACAATGCTTTATTATTACAGTCATTAGCACATTGACAAGAAAATGTTTATGCTATAAAAGCGTCGTTTTTTAACATTTGTTAATTTATACTTAATATGGTAAATAAATTAGTTTACTAAAGTTTTAACTAATCGTTACATGTTTTATAAACTAATTGTGTTGTATTATAACATTTTTCTCGGACAATTGATTTTGTTAATTAATTGAAGTCATTAATGTTGGTTTAATTATACTTTTTTATGAAGCTATTATTTATCCATTGAAACTTTGTAAAGAGATACTACAAAATGGATTTGCATTTCGGATGGAGTTGAAATCGAATTGAGTAAATCTCTTTTCCAATCCCTTCAAGAGTCTTTGAAGACGTAAATTTGTATGGAATTGTGGTGCATACCCCTGTGTATGCGTGCGTGTTATTGTATACATGGATCGGTATGTGTTGTATTAAGGATTCAGTAGATTCCCCTATTATAGTTGTACGCCGATAGTAAAGGATTTGGTAATTAGATGGAGCTGCGTTTGATGTGTGTGTGTGATTGTATAGGCAGCGAACGTTGTCGGAGGGTGATGTTTTTTCGTAATGACAGTTCGGACAGTTCTCTTTTGTAAGTTGGCATCAGTAGTTGTACAAAATTTTCAAATTTCATCGTTTCAAAGTATGCGGAGCGTTTGAATTCGGCGTGCGTGAGTTATCCCGGGGTTTGTAAAGATGCCGGACAGGTTTAAGGTAACCAAGTCGGAGGTTCCGACGAACTTCCTCTGCGACTACCTCCATGAAGGACAAGAACCAAGTGCAGATGGGGACGAAGATAGGGCCAGCGAACGTTTACTGCCGAAACCTCAAGACACCAACATTCAGGCCGCTTCCTCTCAAGGTACGTACCTCAAGATAAAAAAAAGGAAGAACAGTTAGGAGGTATTAGACAGCACTATTCAAACGTCCTTAAATTTATTACACGTTCCTAATCCAATTAGAAGGGATTTCATTCCGGTTTAAGGACACGCTGCTGTTTATTGTTTGTTTTGTACACTCGTCTTTTGCGATGCGGAGACATAGGCCTCGCTCCAATTAAAGAAGTATAAAGAAGTAGTCCAAAAAAAAAAGAAGATACACACGTTGCAATAAACGGACAGAATCTTTTATTCAACGAGTTTGTAAACAAAGCGGCAAATTATGATTCAGACGGTACGTCAAAGCAGTCTACCCGACTAATTTTATACCTAACGCATACATTTTCGTTTTAATTCCTACTATTTATAGATGCCTCGTTATTGGGAAGCGTGGGACTCCAGTAAACGTGCTTATCATCCATCTGCTGCATGTCTGCTTTTTGCTGCTACATAAATAGAGAGAAAACACACAAATTTGAAATATAACAGAAAGAGCACGCATTCCGAGATTGTGGTATCGGTTCGCGTATGTTTTTGGGTACTTTCCTTCTGATGACAACCATCACCATATATCTCCATCGGCAGGCAATAAAAATAATTGACGCTCACAATATTTATACTCTGGTCTCAATTTACTCCAAACATTACAACCAATTACGCTCCATCTCTCCGCGTTACATAAATACATTCCGGCGCCTCCTGCTGCTCACGAAGAGCGACGGATACTGGAAACTTTCAGTTTCTCTCCCCAATTTGATCTTCATAATACCAATGCGAAGTTTCTTCTTTTACTTTTTTCTTTCTTCTTGTGTTTACACGTCTTTCCACTGCTTGTATGATGCCGTCCACCTCGCTTCCGCCACCCACTTCAATTTCTGATAATTGATATGCCAAAGCCATGGTTGGAACTAGTTTTGGCGCAATATTACGGGTGTGTAATTATATTCGGCCCGGTCCCGAGGGGTGTCCTTTTGCGAGCTCGGTGGTTCCCCAGTTTTTGCGATCCCCGGACAAACCCACACCCTTTTAGGGGGGTTTCAAGGAGTATAGATCCACTGGCATTTATACATGCGCACCTAGTGAACTCCTTTATTTCTCCACCCGTCGGTCGCTTTAAAACCTCATAACAAATCAAAAGGAACGCCGCCTCTGATTATTCGCCGCGACCGAACAATAGGAACAATAAACGCATTCCCTCTCGCTCTTGTCCCCAATGCTCCATCTACTTCGAGGATTGTGTAACGGTCTCCGGATCCTGCGATACCGTTTTTTTGTTTAATTATACTGACAACCTCAGATTTGGTAACAAGCAGCATCTGTATTTACAAAGTTTTGCTTCAACTTCTAAAACAAACTTGGTTTAAATCGTACATGATACAAATATGTAGGAATATTCTACGAAAACAGCAAAACGGAAAAAAACTTATCAAATTTGTTCATAGATATTCTATTATAGTAGTATACATCTCACGATACAAATATACAATAAATAACATTTATCACAGTAAAATCCCACTAAAACCGCAATGTAGGAAAAGCATAACAATTCGCTTATGTATACGCTATTATAGTGCATTGGTAATTGCATAATCTTCGTTTAAAGATAATGGTTTCCTGTTGTCTTTTAATCACAGAGATTGTCTGCTGTGCTTTACTTAAATAACTATAACAGCATCAACATACTTTAGTAAATGAAAATCTTAAAAGATATTCACACTAATAAGTAAAATGTACTAATTTATTTAAAATTGAAATGAAATAATTCAAATTTTGTGAAATATTCCAAGAGATTATTGAATAATTTAAATTTCAAAATAAAATAATTGACAAACATTAAACAACAATTAAATATTACCTAAAATAAGTTAAACGTTTATATTTAAATTATAATATACAAATTTCATTGTCAAAACGTTGAAGGTTTTTCTTTTGTTTATTAATAAGAGCTTATTCCTCTATCAAAGAAACGTCCTTTTGTCCAATATTTAAAAGAATTAAAAAAGTGCAATAATTGAGCTTCACATAATAAGTAATTGTTACCGAAATATTGAGAATATTATATAA